ATATATTTCGCGATAAATATTAACATATCGACCTGGGAAGAATGAGATCTACCCCCTAACGTCATTCGTCGTACTCAATAAAATGGTCCTTTCATAACAAAGCATAAACCAAATCCGATACTCAATGTGATTACTTTTTTTTTTTTCATATGGCAGCAATACATCGTCTATCATTGAGAGCTATTGATATCCTTAAGTAAACGATGTTATATCTTTTCTGCGTTAGATGGTAACGAAGATAGCGGTCGTAGCACAATGAACATGTCATAAGCGGCACTTGATTTACTAAGTTGCCTCAGAACTTAAATAGCAAGGTTGGATAGGTGGAGCACCCATTCTTTCAGTAAGCTCAATCTTTTTGCTTAGATAGCCATTGGGCCGTCCTTAATACAGCACATTTACAGTAGCTGGCCGCTTTCGTTAACCTTGTTCGTGCGTAGGTTGGACTGAAATCGGTCGGTACGTCAATGCCCGCGCCATAATAGTTGCATTGGCGGGTCCTTAACCAGCCATTACTGTATTATAGTACTTGCTCCTCTAGACATCTGCTGAAGCTTTTTCGATTCTTGACTCTGTTGCAAATCACCGTCTCTGATACACTATACAATATATATATATATATATAATTAGCTTTCACCCGATCAATGTTAACCCGTATGTTTTTATTGATTTTGAGCCCCGAATTGCTTTTGAGAATGTCTTTGCCAGCTTATACGAGCATGCTTCAAAGGTGAATCTAATAAGGACAGATTACCGTACCGTTTTATAAGCATCCTGCTTCGATCCCGGGTTCATCTTCCCATAGTAAAACAAAGCTGCATTGCAATACATAACAGGTGAAACTTGAACTTTTTTTTGGACACGACGCCTTTTGCATTTTGTTCGCTTTCTGCCGTGCTCCTAAAGGTTTCTTCTTGCCAAAATTAATAGTAATATCTACTTTTCTACATGTGTTTTATAGAATATAGTTGCAAATTAAATACTACCTAAATAGGTGTAGAATTAAAGTATTGCTTCTAAAGCCTTTTGACTTCTATCCGACAAGAAGCCATTGCTGAATTTGATGATATTATCAAAGTGCGTAGTTTTAGACTTTGTACTGTTTAAAAATTGGATACTTGCTATTCTGCTAGATATACTTATTTAGTAGAACGGAAAACCTATTTAAAGCTGACTTCAGAATATGTGTTCCACCCTCTATTATTTTCTCTAAATCTTTCTTTTCTTTTTTTTTATTTAATTACAGTGTGTTGTGTAGAATATGCCAGGAACAATGTAACGGTTACTTAAAAAGTAGCAAAAATTATACATACACAAATTGCGCTTACTTAGATATCGAAACGTACGTACGTACGTACGTCGCTGTCATACGGTTAACTTTTTAATTTAATTTGTTTGTTAACGAATTTTAACTGATCCTTGAACAAAACTCCCGTCAATCAAAGCAATATATACCTGGCCGACGGACACCAGTTAGCTAGTACTCGCCACCCCAGGCTTTGACGGGGCTCTAAGAAAAGCCTCGGGTTATCAAATCGTATAGTTTTCATAGTGAAATTGAATTTTGTTCCCAACATCCCTACCATGTTGAGTTTTCTCAGTGATTTTGCAGCTAAATACGGCTCGCTGCCCCGATTTCTGGCGTTAATTTTGCTTCCAGAATGAAGCGTGCGGAAAACTCAAGACACACTTCGTTCATCTATTGTATAATAGGAATGCTGATGGACAGGTTTATTAACTTCCGATAATTTACAAACCCGTGAAACCGACCATTCTCAATGTGCAAATACCGTGGATCACCTGCCGGGCGCCCAAACGATTTCTCTAAAAAACATACGGCGTCATGGCACGATTAGTCCGAATTAGCAAAAGCCATAATGCAAGCAAGCCATTCAGTGTGCCTCCTACATATTTGCGTACGTTCGGCTTCTTGTTCAGACGCGTACAACCATACGATTTTTTGTTATTTTCGTGAGATACTAACCTTCGGGATCGCTTATTTAAGGTGTAACTTTAATGAAGCAAATCTTATGTAGTATATTCTGTTTTCAGCGTATTGACATTCTTCCAATTCGCCGCATATACTTCTAGCCCATTTAAACCATTTGATTCTATTGCCTGTCAACACAAAAAAAAGTTATCGACCATTTATAACTTTATTTTCGCACTGTAACCTTCGGTGAATAAGTATTTTATTCATGTTCCACATAATAGTGGTCATCGATAGTTGATCTAGCGGAACCAGTAAATCGATACGGTATACCTTGACTTCGTTCATATATGTTAAGATGTGGTCAACGATTGGATAAAGGGTAACACGTTTCATAGAATAGCATCGGCCATTTCACACAGACTGACTCAGCTGACGTTTATGCAATCTACTTGTCATTGGTAAGTTCAAAAATTGTCAAGAAATAAACACAGCGGTATCCAATTGGGGTCAGGTGGGGCGTATGTTGACAAAAAGTTCAAGCCAACATCGTCGTGAGCATAGCGGTACGGAGTTTGGCATAGACAAACACAAATCATTAGGTAAAAATCTTCTGTCTTCCCTTTGTCTAAGCGCAGCCGCTACCAGAGATACGGGTGCTTCAGAGGTTGCCACTTCAAAGAAGAAACGCTAGCGTGTTGAAGTGTCGATGTCTAGCATCCGCCGTGTCGCTATGAACACTTCGTTTGGTATTTTTTTCACTCTTCGTTTTGTTGTGCCACCCGCAGACGCCAATGTCGCCGGATGACCTCGGTCACCTACGTTAGTCAACGCGCTATTTCTGTCAGCGTGTCGCGCTCCATTTCTAATATTTGCCTTCGCACGTAATCAACGGCTCAAACCACTACAAAAACGATGGAAACTCACAGGTCCTGATAACAATCGGCACTGACAACACGAGAACTGCGTTAGGTAATTGGCCATTTATTCAGCCGGGGAGCGATTTTGCCTCTATAAATCTTGTCTGCCATTTTACGAAATATCTTTAAATAACAATTTTCTATTTAAAAAGTTACGTTTTTTTACACAGAATATGTTTGAAATTCAAAACTTTGTCACTTAGCCGTTCTTCGTTGGAAGTTCGCGTACCAACAACAATGTATCGTCAACAAAATCAGATATTATTATACTAAGCGTGTAGCAATATCTGCTTTAATCGGGTAGTTCATGAGAACCAATTTTGTCATTAATCGCTTCAAGTATTCCGTCCTTTTTTTTTTCAAAACATCTTCAATAATAATCCTAATTCTCTCTAATCGGTCTTTCATAAAGTAATGCTTGACCACATATAGCTCAGGGTAGGTTGGAACTATTTAATGACTGAGACTTTAATCATGAGAGCTAACTTACATCATAATTACTATGCCGTCCAGGTGAGAAAGGTGCAAATATCGTGGGCTAAAAACCTTCACAGTAGTTCCTTATAACACATACAAAACTAAATGCATTTCTGCCTTTACTAAATTTTTTTTTTTCTGTAATATGTCTGATATATCGATGCTCTGAACGAGATCGGAACAACAGTAAGTTCGCTCCCCCTACCTATCTGTTTAGCGACCTACTGATATCTTTTGATATTGCAGAAGTGAAAATTAGCCATATCTGCGTTCGTTTTAAAAAAATCACATCGAAAAATAACAGACTGTTCACAAATACTACGACGCACCATCGTACGCTGTGTGCGAGCGCTTGCTCCTATGTGTTCGCACAGCTCCACGCGTCCACTGTTTAAGAACGGTTATTACAAATAGCAATTTTCAAAAAAAAAGCACGATTTGTACGTACCAGCTACCTCTATGGGCATCCGCCAGAATATTTTAAATAGGTACTGTACTAAGTAAATGGTGACGGTTGGCGCTTGTTGTAATAGCGATTGTCAAATAAATCGACCGAGTGCTATTGTTTCGCATCATTTGTTTGTCCAACTGGTTGCTGGGGGCTTCTTCCTAGCTATAAATCGGGCGGCAAGCTGGAAGATTATTTTTCTGGAGAATTTTGCGAGTGGGGCAACAAACTTCTCTGCAATAAATTGCAGAGTACAAGTAGCCACCCATGAACTGAGGTATTTTCGTGCTGAAAAATCGTCAACTTGTTTTTCCCTAGTTCCAGCACGCAGTATCTTAAATCTTTTTGGTAATAATTAAACTACCCGAAACGGTCTATAATGCAAAACATCCCTATAATTTAAAAAAAAAAATGCACAGTTTTGTTTCTACACTGAATCTTGTACCCCTTTTTCCTGGGCTCGCCCTCGAATCGATATAGAGACCTTGTGGGCCCTGCATTTGCATCATACACATATGTTCATATTTCTTGTTACGCGACGGAAAAATCCACCTCTCTTGAGTTGCGAGAAAATTCTCCTATCCCTAAATTTAATCGAAGATTTGCCGTTCTATACAATCCTTGCTGTGAGCTTTTTTGCCTTTAAGTGACCTTTCAAAATCCTTTGCCATGAACTCCCGGAACGAGAATCGACAGACCTCACTTTTCCTCAGGTGCTCGGCCCCTTCCGTCGAGACAGGTAGCTTGGAACGAGGACAACTGTTGTTGTTGTTATTTACGCCCTCAACAGTGACGCGTAGTTTATCCGCAAAAGCCTTAAGCAGCGTTGACAACCCCCGGTCTCGTTCATTACGTGCTTGCGTCAATGAAATACTGCTGAAAGTCGCAGCAAGGTACGAAACACACGTTCGAAGACGCTGTATGAAAGGCGAATGATAACCGCTCGGCCTCTAACCGACTGTTTTCGATAATCGATTGAAATTTCTCTGACCCAACAGTGAACTTTGCACATAATTCATCTATACTTCGTGACGTTCATACCTGACTTGCGCCGTCTGCTAAAAAGAGCAAACGGCGCAAGTTCGAATTTGATCGTGTAGCAGACTATATGTACATATATATATATATATATATATATATATATATATATATATATTTTTTTTTTTTTTTTTGACTGCAGCTTTGTTTTTTGCCAAGCAATGCCGTTTTAATGTGGATATCTGTATCAGTTTACCTAATGCCACTGGGCACGGTGCCCTCATCTTGCGGCTGCCATTTTTAACGTCTTGCGTTTTTACCATACTGCACCTTTGCTTCAGCTCAAGAGCAATTTGTGTAAGTACTCATCCTTATTCGAGGAAGCTGTTGTTTAAGCTATTTAATGAAATTCTCGCACGAACTAACGCAAGTCTCGTAAATTGCCTACTTTCGTTATTGCATGTAGTTGGCGGGCAAACGTCACACTTATCGAAGACCGCGTTCCTCTCTTCGTACCGTACCGCGCCCCCGATTCGCGTATAGCCTGAAAGGTATTTTAATTGGTTTTACGAAAGCTTTGCAACAAGCGAGGTGCAACATACAACTCCCGCGCGCCTAAATAACAGAATGTACCCTTCACAAGCACAAACTGGTAAACTTTCCAATCTTTTTCAAGTTCAGTTACTACCCGCGACTAGCAAAAACTTGCTGTGTGCTGTGCTGTTAATGCTGCCGCAAGAGTGGCGCTCCAACGCGAGGCTGGGATCCGGGCTGTATATATACACACTACTGATGTGTCTAAAATGAACGTGTTTGTGAAACTTCCTATTATCTATCTAAATAGCTTATCGATCGAAATAAATTTTAAGTAAGATGGCACTTGTCACTGAAGCACGCTGGATACTAAGATAGCCAATGGATAATAAGCGGAAAACCATTCCCTTTCGATCGATAGTTCGAAGAGAAACGAGTTCGCACTTCTTTTATGCAGATCAAACCAAATATATTTAGTTCAAGTTTGGAGCAAGGCTCAATGTCTGTAAGTTTAAGAAACTATTACCAACTGATCTATGAAAGTGACTGTTATAAAAAAAAAACAAAGCAAAGACAGTCCATAGTGGAAGTGCCTGATATTTCAATAAGTTTTCTGTTTAGGACTCTACTAAAGACTGCTATAGATATAAAAGGTGTATTAAATATTACTCAAATTGATCTATTTGAAAAAGCCCATAAAAAATTACAGTTGTAAATGGTCGAGTGTAAATTAAAAAAAAAATATTAATACGTTAATCAGTGACAAAGTTTTTCAGTTTCTTTTCTAATTATTCTGCCTTTATCATTACCTGAAAGCACATCTTCATCATGTTAAGACTGTATTGTCGTTTTTTTGTAGAGCGGATTGCCGTGAAGCCAGAGATGAATTTATTTCTTCTAGCTGATGGGCAGACTTTCCATACAAGCTACATTTGTCATCTCGCAACATTCATCATTCACGTACTCCATGACGATCCTATCGAACATTGCCCCGTAGTCAGGGCAATTGTTCCAGTAAATGACAACTAGCAAGCAAACATGAAACATAATTTATGCTGTCATTAAATCACTTTCAATTACCTCATTTGGGATGTGACAAGTCAGACAAACGCGTAACGTTTGCTACGTACCACAGGGTCGAGCTTAGAGTTAACTGATAAAGCCCATCGGTGTCCGAATGTAGGTATGGCACAACATGTGTTCCGTATATGATCACGTGAGGACTTATTTACAGCTTATCTGTTAATTCTTTTTTGCTCGTCAGCACCTCTTAATTACTCAATTCGTGGTAGGCATATCGTTGAAAATATCGTTATTCAAATCCTATTATGTCGAAACTACCCGACCGTGCACTGTCACCGTCACGTGACGGTAACAGTGCAAGTGGCGCCATGGCCATGTTGAAAGCAAAATTGAAATAGGAGTCTCTCGACAGCAGCTGGATGAGACGCTTAGTCGTTGACCAATTTCAAATGGTAGAACGCAACGATGAATCTGTCCCCCAACAAACAGCTCTAGTGACCATTGCGAAACCGTATCTGGAACCCTAAGTAATGGTAAACACATGATTCCAAAATCGTGAGCGAAAAGACACATCGGGCGACCACTAGATCTAAACTACTATGTACTGGATGCTGAGAGACGTGTCTAGAGATGCATCGGACATCAGCCTATATGACGCCAATATACGATGCTTAGACGTTTCGCGGTACCCCATATCGGTATATAGATATACCGTACAGTATATAGATAGCCCATCGTAAGAGACTGTTTCGAAGTACGTTACTGTTTATTGTGCCTCATAAGTTATGGCGTTAGAGTTCAATTTACTGGATTTACTCGCATCTATCCTTAATTTAGAAGTTATTCAAGCTTATCGATAGCTATATTTTAATCTATTTATTGATTATCTATTTATTATCATTTATGGTATAGTAATCGATTTTTTTTTTATGTTTGTCAAAAGGCTTTGCCTCAATACAGTTATTTTTTGATCGATGTCTGTTGTTGTACTTACGAGATAGAACTGGCGTATCTTCTTGTCTAGCGTATTTGTATTTATGCATACGTTTCATACGTACTATAGCAATGATCTAAGTACTTGAGATATTTCCGTGATAGCTTAATAGGTAACATATTGACTTACTAACTTTCACGGTTCATTTAGTGCCGGGAGCAAATCTGTCTGACGGAATGCCTTACGGCGATACTAGACGTAAAGCCTAAATCGTTGAGGTACCGTGGTACGTTTATATTTTTAAGTCACTGCTGCGCAATGTTTGTGTATTTGGAGAATACTATCTTGTATTGTATCATACAGTATCTTTATGCCCAATCGGTTTCATGGATTAAATGGCGCGTTATAGTTCATCAGACAATCCTTAGAACATCGAATAAACTAGATAAAGAGGTTTGTACCATATAGCAGTTAGATATCAAATAGTAGATATTACCATCTGAGCTTCGTTTTAAACGTTTCTGTTAACGATATATATATATATATATATATACTCTCTTTAGTTTGGAAGGAATGCCTTTTGGGAGCCTTTTGAAAACATCTCATTCTCGTTGAGCCATCGTTAAACATGCGACTATTAGGGCGGTTCGTAGACCTTAGAACAGGTCCAGAAGTGAAGAAAGTGACTTTTCTTAAAAATGTATATGCGCCTTGAAAACGCTGCTATCCTCTGTTCCATTAGACATTATCCCTATTAATTGAAAGAATCAATCAAAACTATTAGTAGACGTAAACACTTGTGCATTGTAAGACTGAACCCAGTCACAAAGCTCCACTTTTGAGCGTCTTTGAATTCTCGCTATTTCAATCACACTTCGTTGAAAAAGCGGCAGGACTAACGTGCCCCCTATCAATCCACTAACAAGAACAAAAAAACTCGTGTTGCACGATCATGTATATCTAGAAATGATCTTAGTGATTTGACTCAAGCCAGCTAATCCCAAACATGCTTCGTGGCCTTGCGTAACAATAAAAACAATGATGTTTAGGAACACTCTGAAGTTGAAAGAAGCTGACTAGACACCTATTCCCACGGCTGCGTTTGAGTCATAAATGTCGCTAAAGATGTACAAATGTACGTTAAGGCAAACCTAAACGAGTGAATAGCGGGTCCGCTTTATTTCTATTCGCGACACACTGGTGTGTCTAGGGTTATTTACTCGGAGTGAGATCAATCAGAGCAATATGTCGACAATGTACGATAGAATATTGATAATAACATCACGGTTGTCGCCAATACCACAAACATAATGATATTACTAGTAAAATTAATAGTATTTAACTAATTGTCTTTAAAATTAAGCGCTCACCTATTAAAAACAAAAAATCCTTCTGAGGGTCGCTCGTCTTTTTGGTTGGATGCTTTTGGAGATGATCGGCGAAAGCAGGCATGAAGTTATTTAGACGTCCAGCATCGGACTCATTAGCTAATAGATAGCACACAAAACTGTGTGCCATTGTACCATCATTCGCTTCTCGACAAGCTGGTATCGTTGAATTTAAGCTTAGCTTAATCACAGAGGAATCGTCAATCTTTTTCAGACGTCTTCAATAAACGAAATTTTGCTGCACGTCCAATTTAATAACTATCTTTCACGTAACAGAATGATTTCACAGTGGCGTACGTTTTTTCTAGTCATTTGTATAAACAACTTCGCTAATTTTGTAGTCGCTAGGGCTCGAAAGTAGGTCTTCTGAACCTAACCTATTTTCGTATTTAGTATCCTTATTAAAGATAAGGAGATCGAGCGTATATATTTGAATATAGGAAGGCTTTGTGATCGAGTCTTGCGTAATAAATATTTTCTTTATATAATTATAACGTCTGGCTTACGGTGTTGGAGAGGTTTCAAGCGACAACAACAGCAACATCTGATTTCTTCACTTTTCTAAGCGATCACCTTTAATCACTATACAAAATTTGTGGGATGTAATCATAAAGTGAGATATAATCAAGTATTTGACATCGTTCTAATGAAACGCGTTCAAATTATCAATAAATGCCTATATATACCAATGTTGATTTCAAAATAGCTTAACGGCATATCGGTTTGGCGGGATGTCTGATGATTTCAACCACCTGACTTGGCTAGATGAATGTTACGGTGATTTTTTCTTATTCTATTTATTTTCCTTACCATTTACCAAGCTGTCTAATCCTGGTCCTGGACGTTGTATCGTAGTTCAGTATCAATTCATCTAAGCATCAAAGTCCACGTTATTTTCGCGCTGTGTCTGTCATCAATTACTATCACTTACGGCAACGATAACACTTGCCCTGTTCTTACATATGCTTGATTCTCCCTGTGCTTGCTTTCTCTGGAACAGCGTATCGTTTTGCTGTTACCACTTTTAATCTCAATGTCACAATAATGTCTATTAAATTGAACAATATGGCCGATCTGCTCAATACGTGCCGCCCAAAAATTGCAGCAATGCCCGCGCTTATCTGAAAACAGGTGAAATCACACCCAATTCTGCAGGCCCTCGGTCAGATGCCCACCGTCTTCCTTCTGCTGTGAAGATTATTGTACATAAGACGTAATATCACAAGCAGCGTGAAACGCAAACTTTGAACAGCGCCGTAATGAAACGTGACCGTAAAAATATTACACAAGTTTACAGTGTTTTAGAGTACTATTATTTACCTGATTCTTTCTTCTATTTCTTTACAAATTGTATGGAAACGTATACTTTTAAAGCTTTTCTTTATTCATTCTTCTTTTGCCAATTACTTTTGCTATTCCCGTATATTATTTTAACTCTTCCCTTCGTTTTAGAATTTTTGTTAGAATAATTGCTAAATTAAATTAAATTAAGAGTCTTTCAACATCGGACCTTGCTTTGCCCTCGAGCAAACAAAGTAACGTCGATTCAATACAGAATTGTTAAGAAATATTGACTTTTTGGTGCAGATCTAACAAATTGTTGGGATCCACGTGCACTCTGAAACCTTGCCCATTGAAAAAAAAAGTTCTCGAGTGTCAACCTATAATTGACAGTGGGTTGAAGACCTATCAGCATAACTAATAACTATGGCGCTAATCCATGCAGATCCCGGTATTACTGCAGAGCGTCCGGTCCCAAGATAACAAGTTGCCCTATATGTATTATGCTGCAAACAATAATTTGAAGATTACCGATGCGAATAGGAGCTCAAGCCGTTTTCAGCTTGAAAAACTGCCCGCCAAAAGTCTTCATATACGTATGTAATAACATGTTTTCAGTGCTAAACTATATTGCTCCTAATGGAAATCAAAACAGCAACAGCAGCAGCAGGAGCTTCGTCTGAAAGATAGACCCAGAAGAGAGGAAAAAACTAGAAAAAGAAGTGCATTATCGTCCGCTACTCAATATTATGGATTGAGCCTTACGGTGGCTATCACGATCATGTAACATACATGATACTGGCTGGCGTTTCTACCGTGACTTTTGTAGAGACGGCTGCAGTTGCTGCCTTCGCGATGACGACTATGTTGACCCAGGTTGTACACAAAGGTAGGAGACCTTGTGGTATTTTGATCACTTCGCATCGGTGACTCCAGTCACTACCGTCAAATTGATAGGAGTCGTGACCAATTCCGTGAAACCTGCTATCAGCCATCACCCCCACCATTCCAGCCCGAGGTAGCACGCAGGTAGCTGCGAAAGCTGACGATTCTGAATATAGTAATCATTACTGTGATGTAACGTACTTTTCGGTGAAAAGCAAGAAAAATGTAAGGCACCGCAAAAACAGACGGGCACAGCTAAATGGCACAGGAGCGGGGAGGGGGATGTAAGTGGGAACTTGGAAATTTTAGCAAGCTCGGTACTCTCGTGAACTGCCAAGGAATATTACACAGTATCAACTTTAGCGTATGAAATGCAATATGAGGTTTAA